TGCTTGGGGTAACAATGGATGTCCTCGCGCCCCTCTTCAATCTGCTCCATGGCAGTGAGGCCCTCGACTCACCGCGCTCCCTCACGCCGGAGGCCCGGGAATCCATCACCAAGGCCCAGGAGGCCCTGTCTTCGTGGCAAGCCCACCGCTATGAGCCCAGCCTGCCCTTCCAGCTGGTTATCCTGGGTAAGGCCCCGCGCTTACACGCGCTCGTTTTCCAATGGGACATGGCATTGAAAGATCTACTCCTTATCATCAAGTGGATTTTCACAATCAGCCCACCAAAACTATCACGACTATCACGACTCCACAGGAAATCATGGCTGAACTCATTAAAAAAGCAAGAGGCTGTCTCCGCACTCTTGTGGAGTGTGAGTTCACATGCATTTTCCTTCCATTGACAACTGGGGATTTGGAGCCTTTACTCCAAACCAATGAGAGCCTTCAGTTCACTCTCGATAGCTATTCAGGCCAGATTTCTATACATCCACCTGGCCACAAACTATTCAAAACCACATTTAATTTGGTACCCAAATTATTACAGGGCAAAACACCACTCAAGGCTCTGACAGTTTTTACAGATGGCTTGGGGAAATCCCACAAGTCACTAATGACTTGGAAGGACCCCAGGACACAGAAATGGGAATCTAATGTCCAAGTGGTCGAGGGATTACCACAGATTGCTGAATTGGCAGCCGTCGTCAGAGCTTTTGAGAAATTCTCTGAGCCTTTTAATTTGGTCACAGATTCGGCTTATGTGGCTGGAATAGCTATGAGAGCAGAACATGCATTTTTAAAAGAAGTCTCTAACCCAAATTTATACAAATTGCTTTCTGAATTAATATATCTCATCTCCCACAGAAAGCAATGCCATCGCGGAGGGTAACAAGAGAGCAGACACCTTAGCCATGCCTGCTGGAGCAGCCATAGTCCCGGACATACTTGCGCAAGCAAAATTGTCCCACCAATTTTATCATCAGAACGTCCCTGCCTTGATGAGGATGTTCAAGTTACCCAGGGATCAGGCCAGGGCAATAGTTGCCACCTGTCCCAATTGTCAATCTTTTCAAATTCCAGCCATGAACTCTGGGGCTAACCCCCAAGGACTCAACAGCTGCCAAATTTGGCAGACGGATGTTACCCACGTCCCATCCTTCGGGAGAGTTAAATATGTTCACGTTTCAGTGGACACCTTTTCTGGCAGTGCTAGCCTCAGCCCATGCGGGAGAAAATGCCAAACATACCATCCAACATTTTCTCCTTGTGTTTGCTACCCTGGGAATCCCCCAGCAAATAAAAACAGATAATGGACCCGCTTACACCTCTCACAAGTTGAGAGATTTCTTCAGCCAGTGGGGGGTGAGGCATACCACAGGCATACCTCACTCTCCCACAGGGCAATCAATTGTGGAAAGGACACACCAGAACCTTAAGAGAGTCCTTGATCAGCAGCAGGGAGGAACAGAGATCATTCCTCCCATTGAGAGGCTCTGTAAGGCTCTGTATGTTATGAATTTTCTGAATTGTTCATCTACAGAGCCTGACCCCCCCGTGATACGGCACTTCTCTAATTCGACCCATGCCAAACTCACAGAAAAGCTGCCGATGCTGATCAAAGACCCCGAATCACAGCAAACACTGGGACCTTTCCCATTGATTACCTGGGGGAGAGGGTATGCTTGTGTGTCGACTCCATCTGGTCCTAGGTGGCTCCCAGGGAAAAATATAAAATCATACTTAGGCCCTGAAAACCCTGCACCAGAACCAGATCAATCAGAATCTCCTGAGACCCACACAGGTTCTCAAAAACAACAAGCCACCGCAGCCGGGAGACGGAGATGTCGCCGGAGTCCACTGAGCCGGCCCGCTACCAGACCATCGATCAGACGGCGACCGACACAGCTTACCACCAGACCACCCACTTCATATAAGCCAAATCGTCCTGCCACCAGGACTACAAAAAGACAAGAGCCAATGTCCACCCCAATGTTGTGAAACGTACAAGTTCCTCTAACTCCTTTCCCTTCCCTTTTCCCTCCCCCTCTTCCCTTTCTCACCTTAAATACCTACCATTAAACTACCCACTTGCTAATTTGCACTAGATGCACCTTAATGCTGCTGCTGCTGGTGTCTGGTCATGTGTCTCCTATGCACAAAATGACCCTGCCAGCAAACCACTACCTCATCCCCAATACCTGTTCCTCATTTTTTTTTTTTTTTGAAAGGTGGGGAGAGACAGGAGTAGAAAGTGGGAGAAGGAAAAATAACATCTTTCCTTGCTCAGCCCTAATCTGTTTTACATTCATTTACAGACCATGGAATTTAACACCATCCTTGTGTTCCTGGCCACCTGGATGCTCCTGACAACATCAGCCGTGGATGCCTGGCTAGTAGCACAGCCCCGGGAGAATGTGTGGATCACTCTTGCCAAGACTCTAAGACAAGAGCACATGTGCTTGTCCATGGGCAGTGCCACCAACCCTCTGTCATCCTGCCTGATAGGGATTCCTTTGAAGCCCCATGAATATCCTTTCACAGGGAAAAAACCCAACCCAGTAGACATTTGGGACGAGTGGACAAGGACCTTGCCCCATGCACCAGAGGAACCCCAGGAATTGGAGCTTTTGGTGTCCTCCAAGGCTACCTATTGTATAAATTTTGACTATCGTCCAGTAGTAGACCAGGCATGGCCTGCCTCGGAATACCACAGGGCAATGAAATCAAAGAAAATTGTGACCCCCAACAGTAAAATTTACAGCCAATCTAAATGGTGCAATTATACTAGCAGTACACTATCTGCTTCCTCTCACCATCCCAGAGTGCTTCCCCGGGGAGTGTTCTTGATCTGTGGGGATAGAGTGTGGGCAGGCATCCCTTCCCGACTCCAGGGAGGTCCTTGCACGCTTGGACAGCTTACCATCCTCACTCCAAATTCAACTCTGATGTATGATGGGCAAAGAAAAAATGAATTGGCCCGCCAAAAGAGAGATCTCACCCAATTAGATGAAAATTGTGATAGCCAAATTGATGATTGGTCATATACGAAGAGGGTAGTGATGGCATTTTTGCCATGGGTAGCTGCTGCTAAAGCTCTCGGTGAGCTTTCTCACCTGGAATGTTGGCTTGGTAAGGAGGCCAACCTGACCTCCTCTGTCTTGAGCGACCTCTTAGCGGATGAAGAGACTGTTAGGCACACCACTCTACAAAACCGGGCTGCCATAGACTTTCTTCTCCTGGTCCATGAACACAGTTGCAAGGAGTTCGACGGGCTGTGCTGCTTTCACCTGTCCAACCACGGCGAAAGCATCCATGCGCGCATCCAAAAGACCAGCAACATGGTACTGGAACTCAAAAGAGAAAAGGAGCCCCAGTGGTTTGAGGACCATTTTGGAAGCTGGGGACTCAAAGGATGGGTTGCCTCCCTCCTTACATACATCTTTTGGATTTTTTTAATTATCATCATTGTGTAATGTATGTTCTCCTGTTTCAAAAAGTTGCTAACTAGGTTTCTGGGAGATGCCTTTTATTAAATAAAGAAGCAGGAGTTGTGGAGGACGGGAAACCAGCCAATTCAGAGATTCTGGCTCTCCCCTGGGGAGCTTCTCCCTAGGCAAGACACTTTATCTCATGAAGAGAAAAGGTGTCACTCCCAGAGGCCTTAGAGTTGAACACGTTAATATGTTGCACCCCATTGGTTTCCCTCCATGTCAGTCCACCCCGATATATGTATCCAAGTTTCCCCCGCCCCTCTCCTTCCCTATAAATACCCCGGTTTTCCTCCTGTTGGAGAGCTGCTGTCACTGGTTGCCTTCACTGAGGGCCCGGCTGTTGCAGTGCATCTAAAAATCTTGGTACCTCCCAAGGGTAAAACTCACCTCTGGTTTGTGTAATGTTAGTTCCTACCTGAAAACCTTCTTTCCCTTCCCCCTTCCCATTGGCTGTGACCTCCCTGTATCCCCTGATCACCCCTGCCCCCTGGTATAAGAGATAAGACCCAGAGCATTTCGCTCTCTCTCTTGCCCCGGATGGACAACAGACAATAAACCCGGGATTATTCCAGCAAGTTTGAGCCTCCTGTGTCTAGATACTTTGAGTCCGTGTTGTATCCACTCCAGGACCCCCTCCACCACCTGTGTTCTGAGATGATCCCGACTCTCACCACCGGGGGTGGGACAGAGGGGTCCCCCTGGAGGAGGAACACCTGCAACACCCTGCTATAATAAAAGCTATTTCTCAGTGGAATGCCATACAGCTCTCTAGTCTCTCTTTCTGTGTTGCCTGCACACTGCCGCTGAGCTGAGATCACTCACTGGGCAAAGGATGCTTCGTCTGTGCCCCTGGGCAGTCCTTTTCAGGACAGCTTCTTCAGGGTAGTCGTGGCACCCCTGCCACCTCCACCGCCACGGCACCAATGAGGAAAGGAATTGTCTAATCCACTTCATCTGAACAAACAAAACACAGTTCTGCAGGGCCATTTCTGCAGGGGCTTCATTCATTCCCTTTCTTTTCAAATAATGGGGATTGAGTGTCTGGGCACCTCCCAAGGAAAGAGCTCAGCCTTACTTTGGATCGGGTGGAGATCCACATTTAAGCTCAGAAAAAGGGAGCAATTCTTGTGTTCTTTTCCTCTGGTTTGGTAACAAACTGATGTGCATCGTGTCCCAAGCAGTGTGAACTTGATGCCCTGTAGACATGGTATCATACAGGTAAATGGCAAAGAATTTGAAAAGCAAACAGGCCTGGGAGAAACCTGGGCACCACACAGCACTCACTGTGCAGGTGTCTCATTTTATATCTCATCTCTGCAGGTAAAAATGATGCAAAGTAAAATGTCTCACCTGTTTCATTACAGCCTCTGACTTGTAACTGAGTCTGTCAAGAATGCCAGCAAATTAATACAAGAACTCAGAGACATTATTAAAAACAGAGGTTTGGAAAGGGTGGTTGAGCAGGGTTTACTCTATGCTTTATTCATGATAAAATAAAATCTATCATATTGGAATGCATTCCTCAAAACTTTTACTGGCTTGCAAATAAAGCACAGCCTGTGAATATATGTTGTTTTCCAGCAGCTGAAGTCCAAAGGGAAGCTGCTCTAAAGAGGAAAAAAAAGGGCGGTGAGGGCTCAAACTTGCTCAGGTCTTGCCTAAGTCAGATGTAAATTTTTGTGCCACTCACTTATTTTTTTTCACATTTTTTCCAATATAATTCCAGGAGTAAAAACAACCCCACCTGAAGATGATTTGGATAACAAGGTATGCTCCATTTCCTTACACAATGACTGATGTCCACATGTACCCCCCCACTGAGGCGAGCTCCCAGCTCACAGTCCCACTCCTGGTCCCCCTGGAACAGCTGTGTGCCAGCAGCCCCAGCCCATGCACAAACATTCCTTGCCAATCACTGTCCACAGGATTTTTCCTGAGGGCAAGGCAATCCAGCTCACAGTTCTCACACCCTCTATATTCATATATAGTTTTGCCTGGAATTGATTTGTGTTCTGAACAATTCCAAAATTGTGGTCACCTGGAAACCTCATAAATGGTTTAAATCACCTTTTTGATTTTCCTGGGGAAAATAAGCAAACTTCCCTTGTCTCCAAACCAGGTAATGAGTACTTTTGCTTTCCAGCACAACCCAGGGTGCCAATGAAACTGGGACCCAAGTGATCAGAGTGCTCCATGAGGACACAGCAAGAAGAGACAGAGAAGTAGATGAGACAGTTGCCTGGCCAGGGTGATCCCATGAAAGCACAAAGCAATTTCATAATCAAACCCTTCTGTTAAGAGAGTTCTAATATTGCAAAAGGCACAAAACAGGAGCTTCAAGACACCAACTTTCCCCAGAAGTCCTTTGGTTCTCAAGAACATTTTTAGAACATCCAGGACTGTTATCATACCCATGTCTGATCAGCCTTTGGAGTGTGCTTGCCTTGGGAGCAACATATCCAAATTTCATATTGACCTCCTTCTGCCATGAAAAGAGCAGGAAGAAGGCACAGAGCAAATGAAACTGATTCACATCCCAGGAAACTACTCGCTATAAAATGTTTCAAACACATTAAAAAGGCTCAAGGATAAATTCAGTGCTAATTCAGCTGGGTTCAGCTGACCCATTGGAAAATGGAGCAGCACCAGTGCCAAGAGACATTTCCACTGTTGCCACTCAATCTCCCTTTCTTTTGGTGGCATTACTGAAAGCATGTCAATCCTTAAAGGTCACTGCATCCTCTGTCCTGAACCCTTGCCTTAGAAAGGTGTGAATTCATGCAGTTAAACCTAAAATAGAAACAGGAACAGCTTCAGGGAATTGCCTCCTCCAGAAATGTCAGCAAATGCAAAAAGGCTGAGGTTGACGAAGGTTCTCTGTTCCATAGGCTGCTCTCACCTGGACCAAAAGGTACTTCACGCAACAGAAAGAAAAATAACACAAATTCTTAGCAAAGACGGTTTATGTGCTAAAAACAAAAAGAGCACTTAGTTGATGCATAAAATCTCCACCTGGTGGTGAATCCTGCCACAGCAAACTTCCATTTCTAAGAAAAATTCCTTTTCCAACATATAACCAGCTCTTTACCCGAGAAAATCCCAAAGCAACAAGTGGGGCAGGGCAGCCTTCAAAGAAGCAGCACTGTTGTATCTCCCTGATTTTTCACTGTTTTGCAAAACTGAAGAATCCCTTCAATTCTACTGCAGCTGACAGTCACACAAGTGACCTTCCTCAGCTAAAATCAGACTGGAGAGAGTTCACATCATGCTGAATACAGTATTGGTTGTAAGGTGGGGGGTGCTGACTGGTTTTCCTGCTGCAGAAGTACTGCTTCCCAGGAAGAAACATCCTCTCCAAAGCCTGGAGTTCTGCCCTGTTTCTTGGTTTACATATTAATTATAATAATTGAAAACTTTAAGCATCATGAGTTATCTATATCTCTAGGGTCTTCTAAATTACAGCACAGTCACCTTTGTATTATCATTTTAGGGGTGATTGTCTGGCTGCACACAATTACTTCAGTTTTCCCCTTCATGTTACTGGTTCTACACTCTAGAAACATTTTCCTATGCACCTTATTTAAACACAGTGTCTCATTTGCCTGCTCTTTGCAGTAAAGTCTTACCATGTCATAGCATCCACAAAAGCTTTGTGAGATTGAACAAAATCAGTGTGAGATGGACATATGAAATATATGTGAATATGTGTAGACTTTTGATCTACGGTGCTGTGCATGCCTTAGGCTCATGCCTTGGATAACCAGCATTCCATAATTACTTTATTTGGCTTATGCAAGAACAAAATATCACTTTTTTTACACTTGATAAGACTGAGCAAGACGTGGCTGTGGCCTCAGACTCCAGTGGCCCCTGGTTCAGCTGGGCTGACAGACATCCTCTGCTTAAGTGTTTGACCCAGCCTGTGGTTTCTGCATGCAAATGTATAAAGAAATATTATCTGCCTTCTCTTGATTATGCAGCTTTTTGTGTACCAGTCCTAAAACATCCAGGAAGACCCACTACTGATGCACACAAATTAGTCACTGACCACAATACACTTTGGGGCCAAAAATAAGATTATGTTTAAATCGGCCTGATTCCACTTTCTGTCATGCCACGCATTTGCAATTCAAACACCATCAGCCTCGCAAGCTATCTTTGTTGAAGCCACTATGGGTTTTTGGTGTTTAATGCTGACCTCGAGGGCGAAAGTGCTGCTCCACACTGCACGGTTGCACAACCACATGACATCCTCCTGCTTTCATTGCCGTTCCTCACGCAACAGGGACTAAAAATAGTTACAAAGCATTCTGATTAATAAAACATAATCTATGACCAAAAGGCAAAGTATTCTCAAAGAAAAGACGGAATTTTTGTTTACAGTGCAACTAGCGGGGGGGGAGGGGGAG